TGTGTGTGTGTGTGGAGGGTGTGTGTGTGTGTGGAGGGTGTGTGTGTGTGTGTGTGTGTGTGTGTGTGTGTGTGTGTGTGCGTGCATGTGCGCACATGTCTGTGGAGGGTGCAGCCTTCCTGCCAGTTAGCTTCTCTGTGAGGGTGGTGAGGCCCTGAGCATGGAGTGTGGTGCTGAGGAGGGAGGCAACCAGCTTCCTACTAGACAGATGACCCTCCATGGCGGGAGCTGAGTTGGGGCTGCTCTGAGAGGTGTGAGGACCGCCTGTGTCCTGTGTTGGGACAGCGAGGACGTCTGTCTGAAGCCAGGGCCTCTGTGGCATGTGGCCTGGGAGGGGGCTGAGAGCTGGGGTGTCTGCCGGTTGCCTGCTGCCCCTTGTGGGTGTGGCCTGGTGCTCAGTGTCCTGGTCTCTTGCAGCCTCTGCGTATCCGCCGGCTCTTCCGGCCCTTCTTCCTGCTGCAGAACTCCTCCATGATGAAGAAGACGCTGAAATGTATCCGCTGGTCGCTGCCGGAAATGGCCAGGTGGGCTCTGGTGCCCGGCTTGCAGGGTGGGGGAGGGCTCCCCTGTTCCCTGCAGGGCGGTGGGGGCGCCTGGGCTCCCATCCTGGCGGCCATGCGTGAGATCTGGGGGCCGCTGGGTGCTGGGTCCACTCCAGCTCCGTCCCTGGCCAGGGGCTGTGCTGTCAGGCACTCCGGCCCTGTCCCTGGCAGCCCCGTAGCGGCCTCGCACTGCTCCACAGCGGACGCGCCCCTTTTGTCCCCATGGTGGCTGCCCGCCCTCCCTCCTGCTCTCCTTCCGTCCCCCCCGGTCCTGCTCAGGGGTGCACGCCAGGCCTCCCTCCACCTCCAGCCCCCTCCCCCAGGGGCTCACCTGGCTGACCCTCACCATCCAGCCCAGGTGGATAGAAGTGGGCTTTCCCCTCTGCGCTGTGGATTGTCCCGCCTCAGAAAGAGGGCTCCTGAGCACATGGCAGGCTGTGGGGCAGAGGCTGCGTGTGTGCCCCAGGGGCCGGCTGCAGGGCGCTCCCTGGGCGGCTGGGTCCCTGGACCCCCGTCCTGGTGGGCATGTGGGCGCCGGCCTGATGCTGAACCCCTGTGCCCGCTCGCCCAGTGTCGTGCTGCTGCTGGCGCTCCACCTGTGTGTCTTCACCATGTTCGGGCTGCTGCTCTTCACCGGCGAGAAGGTACCAACCGCGCCGCGCCCCGCTCGGGCTGCCCCTCGGTTAAGGCGCAACGGCGGAGCTCTGCTGGGTAGTTCTGGGCCAGCGCCCGTGAGGACCAGGGTAGGCTGTCTGCCCACCTCGTCGCCAGGGTGGCCCGCCTGCCGTCCCAGTGTCTTCCTTCGGGTGGCCACAGCCTTGCACTGCTTCCTGTGAGGGCCGCCATCTGCCCCGGGCCTCCTGGGTACAGGGATAGCTGCCTCCGCCGGGCTGCCCCGCCCTCTGTCCCTCTGTCCCTCCCTCCGTCTCTCCCTCACAGGCTATTCACTGACAGGGCTTTCTCTGCACCCCTCCTAGACAGGCCCTCTCGGATTGGCACTTGGGGTCCTGGGGACAGACCCCCCACCTGTCCTGCTCAGATGGGCACCTCTCACCACTTCCCTCTTCTCTAGCTGCGGGCGTTGCTCTCCCCACCTGGCCCCTCCCTTCCAGCCTCTCCCTGCCTCCTGGCCCCCAGCAGCTTGCTGCTGTGAGGAAGTGCCACCTGTCACCAGGCCCTCGGTCTCTGCCTTGCCCCCCGCCCTGCACAGCTGCGGTCCCATCTGTCTTTCCTCATGTCCTGGCCAGGGTCACTGTCGTCTCCAGGTCTGGAGCTGTCCTGAGTCTCTGTCCTGGGAATGTGGCCCGTGCTTGGCCAGGGCTGGTCTTCAGCGTTTAGGGGGTTGGGGCTGTGCCGCCCATGAAGGAAGACTGAGGACTGAGGCAGCGTGTGTGCATGTGTGTGTGTGTGTGTGTGTGTGTGTGCGCGCGCGTGCGTGCACATATGCATGTGTGTGTGCACATGTGTGTGTGTGTGTGTGTGTGTCTTTGTGTCTGTAACAGCATGCGCTGTGTCTGTGTGTGTCTCTGCATATCTGTGGGTAGCGGGGGCAGCTGGGCTATGAGGTGGGACCAGCTGACAGAATCTCAGGCCTCCGGTGACCGTCCAGTGACGCTGCCATTACTGCTGCCTCGCAGAGCCCAGGAGGGGTGGGGTGGGCAGAGTGGGCATGGGGTCGGGGGTGGGCCTCTGACCCATGAACGCTGAGTGTCCCGAGGTGCCGGGAAGACTCCTTTGCTGGTCTTAAGTTCTGCCCCATGGAGCGGGACTGGGCTGAGGAAAGGGGCATGTTTGTGGGGCAGAGAGGGCTGTGCGTCTTGGTCTTGTGAGGGTCCAGTTCCCTGCCTGCTGTCGGAGTTCAGAGGAGACTGACAGTGACCCACCTGTGTGGGTTCCTTGTCCTCAACCCCCTCAGGCCCCCTCCACCTGACTGGGAGACCATCAGGAGTGAGTGGGACCCCCTACCCCAGGAGGGCGATGGTGGGGAGCCCGGGTATGAATGTCCCGTGACAGTGGCTGTGGAAAGCCACAGCCATGAGTGCCCCACCTGAGTGCCCGTGAGTCCTTGAACACACAGACTGCAGGGCAGGTGCGGCCCCTGAGTCGAAGGCGGGGGGCTCTCCCGGTAGGGCCACTCCAGTTCCAGCTCTTTTCTCCCCACTCTGGCCCCACTGTGGCAGCCTGCTGAGGGGGGGCTCCTGAAGCTTGGCCCCTCTGTTCCCCCCACTCCTGACCTTTGGCCTCACCCCACACGCAGTACAGTGCGTGGCAGAGTCGGGCTGAAAGCAGGCTGGCTGGCACCTGTATGTGGGCTCCTGGTCACGGGGCCCTGACACTCTCAGCCAGGCCGCCCGGAGCTTTTCACCACGGTTCTAAACAGGCCTGCGCCGGCAACTGGCACCCACGCCGGTGTGAGGCCTCCCTGGGTGCTGGCTTCTGGGCCTGGAGGCCTTGAGCTCCGTCCTGCTGGGAAATGGCGGGAGGCAGCCGAGCCCACGGCGGATGGTTCCGCCTGGTTGGGTCCAGAGCCTGGAGCTCTGCTGGCCTAAGGCCTTGGCTGATGGGGAGAAGGCCCGAGCGGCTGCTCAGAGCTGCCATATCTTCTCGCAGCAGGATGACGCGCAGGACAGGGAGAGGCTGACCTACTTCCGCAACCTGCCCGAGGCCCTGACTTCCCTCCTCGTACTGCTGACCACGGCCAACAACCCCGACGGTGCGTGGGCGCGAGGGTGGGGGAGGTGCCGTCCGTGCTGAGCCCGAGAGCCCCGCTCTTGGAGGGGGGGCGGGGGGGGGTCGTAAGGCCTCCGCATCGAGGAGGATAGAAAGGGACGTGGGTTCCCTCCATCCTGCCCTTCCTTCCTTCCGTTCTTGCTTTTCTTCCCCCGCTTTTTCCTTTTCTACTTTTCTCTTTTCTTCCCTTTTCTTTCCTTCTTACTTTCTCGCTCCCCCTTTTTCCTGTTCCCTCCGTCTCCTCTTTCCCCTTCTCTCCTCTGAGAAGCTAAGAAGGAACGGTGTTTACGTGGTGACAAATGGCAGTGTGTTCAGCGGGGTTCCCCTCAGTGGCCTCCTCTTTGAGACCCAACCATGTCCCCGCTGCCCCTGGGCCCAGCCGTGTGGTGTGGCTCCGCAGCGGTGTGTGTGAGCCGCGCTGGGGTGTTAGGCGGCCATGGCGCTCCCTTTGGGGTTGCCGATGGGGCCTCTGTCCGCTCGGGCCAGGGGTGTGGCCAGGGCAGGGCGGCTGGAGTCCTCTCGGGCTCTCCTGTGGCCCCGCCACCCAGCTGGTGCCTTTCATCTGGGGCTCAGGGATGGTCACCGGCCATAGAGTCCTTCCCAGGATGGCAGCCCTTGGCTTCCAGGGCTGTGCAGTGGGACCCTGAGGACTGTCCCCCATGTCCTGAGAGTCCTAGCAGGTCACCCAAGGGAGAGCCGAACTTCCTGTGGGGCGTGGTCTCGGGGAGGCAGATACCAGCTCAACATAAGGGACGAGCGTCCTGGACCGGTAGCGAGCTCCCTGTCTCCAGGGCTGCGCACAGAGGCGGGAGGGTCGCAGTTTGGGTCGGGAGGCCTCCCAGCCCTTCCCAGCACAGCCGACTCTGGTGAGCAGGCAAATGGTGTCGGTCACGATGGTGTCGGACCCGGGGCTGAGACTGAGGGCGCCTGTTTCTCCATTTGTATTCTCAGTGATGGTTCCTGCATATTCCAAGAACCGGGCCTACGCCATCTTCTTCATCATCTTCACCCTGATAGGTGAGTCCAGGCAGGTCTGTAGGGGTCAATGGGGCAAGAGTGTGCCCCTGTGACAGCATCCCGAATGCTCCAGGGTGCGTGCTGCCCTGCCCCATGACATCACCTCACTGTGCCCCCCACAACCTGACTGCACCTCAGTGTGGCCCACCCAGTGGTTTGTAGTCTGTGACCACTGATGCCCTCTGTCCTCAGCGCCAGCAGCGGGGCGCACAGGTGGCACTTCCATTGTATAGACAAGGACAGGGAGGCCGGGGTATTGAGTGACGTGCCCCAGGCCCTACTGCCTGCTCCTTGATCCCCTGGCTCTTCTCGCTGGCATCCCCGGGTTTGCTGTGCCCGTGTGACCCTCTGGACCCCTGGCCACCTCCCCTAGCTCTGGGCCCACAACCCACGGTGATCCCCACTGACTGGTGTTTTCCTCTTGAAGGAAGCTTGTTTTTGATGAACCTGCTGACGGCTATTATCTACAATCAGTTCCGGGGCTACTTGATGGTGAGCCAAGCTGCTGTCCCTGGAGTCCAAGCAGGGCGTGACGTGGGCCGAGCAGCCCTGTGTCTCGGGAGGGCGGTGGCCAGGTCCCCGCAGGTGGAGGTCCACAGTGGTCCCTGCGCTGCCTCGAGCTCCCTCTTGTGGATGAGCTGGAGCGGTGTCACATCCTGCCCTTCCCCACCCTCACCTGTCAGGTGCTGTCCCCATGGCCACCCAGGGGTTCCCTCCCCGCCCCCCTTTCTCTAGAGGGAAGCTGCAAGACGATTGCAGGTCCCAGGGCAATGACTCCAAACCCACAGTGTGGGGAGCCGGGGACCCCAAGTATACTGAGAAGAAAGCACACACACCTCAGTGGATGGCACACGTGTGGCTGTTGGGCTCCTCTCTCGGAGTCTGTGACTGTTCCTCTGATGCCCGAGGGGGTGAGGGGCTGCCCCCCAGGCTGCAGGTGGACAGAGGCTGCCTGGGGACGAGGGGTTGGGTGGCCCTGCGGAGAGCTGAGCCGGGCCCCTCAGAGCCATCCTCCCTGCAGAAATCCCTGCAGGCCTCACTGTTTCGGAAGCGGCTGGCGACGCGGGCTGCCTATGAGGTCCTCTCCACCACAGCAGAGGGAGAAACCCACGCTCAGGGGTGAGTGCCGGGGCTCCGGGGCTCCCGTCTCCCTGAGGAATTGGGGGCTGCTGCTGCTTTTAGGGGTGCTTCCTAAGCAGTGCTCTGTGCCAAGCACCCCGCCGGACTGGACTAGTCCCCTGGAGTGTGGAAGACGTCCTGTCCCCTGTGCTCCAGTGTTCCCATGCCTCCTGCGTCTGAGCTGACGCGTTTGTCCTCATGGCCCCTGAGATCCTGGGTTGGCGAGAGGCCGAGCGCTCTGCCTGCTCACCCCACCTGCGCCTCCCCACACCCGTGTGCTGTTACTGGGGTTTCAGGAACAGGGACCTGGGTCACGTCTCTCCTCTGCCCCCTGGTTTGGAGGCGACATCAGCATGGAAGGCTCCTGTCCCGGCTGCTTGTTAGCCCGCTGCTTCCGAGCCTCTGTAAGGTGGCCGGTAGTCTCGGGGTTGTAAACGACAGGATGGCTGTGACACGCCTCCTGTCATCGCCCAGGCTGCACAGTCATGCAGGGGCGCCCCCGGGCACTGAGCTGGTGGGCTCACTGGAGCATGGGTGTGTTTTTCCCCGCAGAGTTGGGGTGAAGCCCCAGGACCTCCTGCAGGTGCTTCAGAAAGTCCAGGTGGACAGTACCTACAAACAGGCCATCATGGAGGTATCAGTCCCCGGCCTCCCCGGCATGTCTTTCTGGGCTCCTCCTAGAGGTCACGTGGGCCATGGCCCCTTTTCAGGACAGGGGTGTCATTTCCGAGTAGCTGGGGCTGGCCCAGTCCTGGTGGGGCGCAGGCGGCTCACCCCCCTGCTCTGGAGGGTGCCCTTGGCCCGGCCACCCTGACTGACCTGACCGCCCTGCTTTGCAGAAGGTGCGATCCTACGGTGGCAGCCTGCTGTCAGCTGACGAGTTTCAGAAAGTCTTCAACGAGCTTGACAAAAGGGTGACGAAAGAGGTAACTGGGGCCAGGCTAGGGTCCCCTGCCCAGGGCCGGGGCGACCCGGGGCTGCTGGGGAACGCTGTAGTGTCCGTGGGTGTTGATTACCTGGGTAGCTTTGTGACCAGTGCCAGGACTGGCCTGCCCAGGGATCCTGGGCCCTGCGATGGTACATGGGAACAGAGATGGATGGCTTGGCTCTTGGAAACTGGGGGGTTTGGTTGACTTCACGAAATCCACAGACCACGGGCACTGGCCTGCCCCAGAGGAACCTTCCAAACGGTGTCTCTGTTTCCGGGACACTCTTGTCCTCTTCCTGTGTGTCTGTCCCCAGGAGGTCCCTGAGGCTGTGTAAAGCCTTTGTCTTTTGTCCTTGACACTGATTTGTAAAGTTACCGGATGGGCCTTGGCACCCAGCTCAGCACTATGCCCAACGACCCCACTGCCTATGTTTTACACATTGGGTTTCGGGGGGATCGGCAGACGTGCTAGGAGACAGGAAGTCTGTGGGGCACGGGAGGGGGCTCCTCATTCTTGAGAAAGGGGATGGGGCAAAGGGGTGGAGTCAAGCATCTGCTGGCTGGACTCCTAACAGCTGGGTCACTGTGTGTTAGCTCAGCTGCCGTGACAAATGGCATGGCCTGGGTGGCTTAAACAAGAGTTCTTGTCCCCAGTCCTGGAGGCTGGAGTTTGAGATCCAGGTGTCACAGGGCTCGTTCTGAGGCCTCTCTCCTTGGCGTGTAGATGGCCGTCTCCTCCCTGTGTCCCCACACGGTCATCCCTCTGTGCATGTGTGTCTGTGTCCTGATCTCCCCTTCTTATAAGGACACTGTCCCATTGGATTAGGGCCCAGCCCAGTGACCTCTTTTTAACCTATTACCTCTTTAAAGACTGTTTCTAAATATAGGCACATTCTGAGGTGCTGGGGTGTAGGACTTCACCATATGAATTTTGGGGGGACGCAGTTCAGCCCATGACGATTGTCCACTTTTTCAGCACCCCTTATCTGCCACTGTGGCCTCTGGCTCCTGTCAGATGTGGTTTCCTTAGGACGGGTTTTCCCAGAGTCTTTCCAGGTCACCTGAGCCAGGCCCCGCTCAACCTGCAGTGCGTGATGGCGCCGCGTCCTAGGCCCGTCCTCACTTGGAGCGCCCCTTCCCAGCAGCGTGCTTTGTGGGGCACTGGAGGTGGACGCTGTATGTTAATACACAGCCAGCGTTTTCCTCTGTGGCCCGTGGGTGTTCCGTCTTCCCACGGCGCCCTGGGTCTAGAGTCCAGAAATGTGGATTGAGGTGGGAGTTTGGATCCTAGAGGTTTGGGGAGCAGTGATGTCCTTGGTTTTATGACACTCTCTTCCCCCAAAATGCTGATTGCAGGGGACAGTCAGATGCTTGGGTGTGTGGCTGGGATGGATCTCCACCGATGTCTCCCGATGACCTGGTCCCATCCCCCACACTGCTGACTGTCCCTCCAGCGCCCTCTGCTGAGAAAGCTTAGCCTCGCACTCCTGTGGACGAGAGATGCCGAAAGGGCTGCAGGGTGAACTTGGAGCCCAGAGCCTGCAGGTGGAGAACTGGCACAGCCAGCGGGGTCCCCTCCAGAAGAGCCACGTGTTCAGTTTGATGTCACAGTGTTTTCCTGCCAGACTGTCCCCCATACAACTACATATGCCTGGAGAATCACTTTTTTGTTCTTTTTGAGTTGTCATAACTTCCACTCTTTTTCGCTCAGCAAGGTCTTCTAGATCTTTCCATGTTCATGTGGAGCTTTTTGTGAGGATGGAATGTTCTTTATCTGCCTGTCGGATACGATAGCCACCGGTCACAGTTGGCTGTTGAGCCCTTGAAATGTGACTATTGTGACAGGGAACCGAGTGTTTAATTGGATTGGATTTAAATAGCCCTGTGCAGTCAGTGGCCCCTGCGTGGGACAGGGCAGGCCCCTGTCACGCTGTCACTGTTGTGTCGGCGTCCACTCTTGAGGCACCTTTGGGTGGTTCCTGTGTACCGTCATGCTCGGGGCTGCCAGGGACGTCCTGTGCCTCTTAGGAGTGTTTTCACATTAGCATTTATTGCCAATTGGCCTCCATCTCTTTGTACTGCTGTCTGTCCAGTGTCCTGTTCTGCGCTCACTTTCCATACTTATCAGCAGACAGTTTATATTTTGTCACATAGCACTTCTCACATCGTGGTAAACGCTTTGCATGCACTTAAGGTGGCCATCATATTCCAGCGTGGTTTCCTTACGGTATCAGTGGTGCTTAGGTTATTTCTGCCTCTGTCCTGGTGTTGTAAAGTCGACGGTGATACACATCTTTGTGTATAAAACCACTTCTGTGTTTGCGATGCTTTCCTCAGACTGGGTAGCCTGGGCTAGAGGGGAGAAGGGAGGAAACAGTCGAAGCCCCGAATCGGGCTACGGGCACGGCTGGGCTCCCCGTGGCCATGGCCGCCGGCCGGCGACGTTTCTGAGCATGTGTTCCCTCTCCAGCACCCGCCGCAGCCGCAGTACCGGTCCCCGTTTCTGCAGAGTGCCCAGTTCCTCTTCAGCCACCACTACTTTGACTACCTGGGGAACTTGATCGTCCTTGCGAACCTCGTGTCCATTTGCGTGAGTGGGGGTGTGCCCTCGTGCCGCCGCGGGAGGCGGGCGCTTCGTTTCCTGCCCCCCCACCCTTGCCTGCCCTTCCTCGGGGTTCCCCCACTGTGTCCTTGCCGCGTTGCCCCAGCGCCGGGCCCGGCTGGTGAGTGTCCTTCCACTCTGGCTTTGCAGGTGTTCCTGGTGATAGATGCAGACGTGGTGCCCCGTAACCGTGACGACTTCGTCCTGGGGGTGAGCTCCGAGGCCGCTCAGCAGCCAGGCCTTTGCTGGGGTGACAGGGACAGAAATGAGAGCGAGGGCACAACCTGGGGTCCGGGTCTGGTGGGAGGCAGGGCCGGTGCCGTGCTGCGTGACTTGTTCTGTTATGGGGTCCCCAGAGGAGGGGGTGCCAGGCTGTGGGAGAGGCTGGGACAGGCTGGTGCAGGCAGAGGACCGCGGAGGGAGGGTCGTGGAGAGAGAGGCCCGAGGGGGCAGTGAGGCCCCAGGTCCCCTTTGGGCTGAGCCGAATGGCGGAATGGCCCCATGGGCCCTGTGGCTGGCGGGTGAAGTTGGGGAGGCCAGTGGCGCTGGGACCGAAGCCTGGGTCCCTGTTTGCTCCTCTCAGATCCTCAACTGTGTCTTTGTCCTGTACTACCTGGCGGAGATGCTGCTCAAGGTGTTTGCGCTTGGCCTGTGGGGGTACCTGTCCTACCCCAGCAACATGTTCGACGGACTCCTCACCATCATTCTGCTGGTAAAGTCTGAGTTGGCCGAGGCGCCAGCTTCTCTGTGGGCAGTGCCCTCTGCACCCAGCTTTGTGCTGCGTTCCGTCTCAGGATGCCCCTGAGGACCAGAGGGCCATAGGGATTTGGCTTCTGCCTCCAGTGACAAAGGGCCTTGCTTTCCCCCACTGAGCTGCTTGGCAGGTGGCTGACGGGGGCCACAGAGCCTGGATTCCCGCTGCATGTGAGCGTGGTGGGGTCAGGCCGTCTCTCTCAACCCCTGAGGGACCCTCACCAGCCGCCCCAGCCCCGGGCACAGCCTCTAACGCCACTAAGGACAGTGGGACCTTGGTGTGGGTAGAGGGAGGGGCAGGGGGCATCTCGGACACCTGGGTGTCCCCAGAAATGTCCCCTCTCCTTTCCTCAGAGCAGGCGGGTGGGAGTGAGGGGTCAGGCTCGGTGTGTGTGTCACAGCAGCGATAGCGGTACGACATTTCTTCCTATCTGATGAGAACTGTGGGCCCCTCAGGACAGGAGCGAAGGTCGTCTGAGAGGGGCTTTTCAGCTTGTCTTTCAGCAACTGGCATCTCCTGCCCCTGGGCTCCGCCAGCCTTTCCCTCGCCCTCCCCGCCCCTTCATGAGTATGGGCTCCCTGATTCATAAGACCGGAGTGTCGTTCTCAGCTTCAGGAAGTCCTGACATTTGGAACCAACCCATGGGGACCAGAGCGAGCTCTGATTTCTCACCGAAACCCCCTTTTGGGGAGAATGTGCTAGACTGAGCTTTATAATTCATTAAAAAGCCGCCCAGATTAGTGTTGCTGTAGCATGCCTTCTTTTCTTTTGTAATTAAAGGTTTTGGAGACCTCAACTCTGGCTGTGTACCGATTCCCACACCCAGGCTGGTATGTGACTGAAGAACCGGGGGAGGCTACAGCAACCAGCGCCCAGCGGCTCGCGCCCCAGGGAAGGGTGCCCACCGTCTTGCGGCTGGGCCACTCGCTCGGGCTGCTGGGACTTGGGGCAAAACGCCCGATTGTTAGGAAAGTGGGCTGCTGGGAGCTCTGTGCCGCCCCTGCCCCCCAGGGCTGTGGGAGCAGACCCCTTCTCGCTCTCAGGACTGTAACATTTCCTAACTCAACTTCAGAACGTAGTGTCCCCAGAGCTGTGGCAGGAGGCTGTCCAGGAGTCCCCGCTGGGTGCAGTGGGCCCAGCCCCGACCCCAGATGGGACATGGCCCCAGGGGTACTGTGGGCGGTAGCTCAGGGCTGGGGTGATCTGTGCTGTGAGCACTGGGGTTGGGCTGGGTCCCTCCTCTGGCTGGACACCGCATGACTTCGGGGCGTCATTCCCTACTGGCGTCCGTTTACTGCCTCCCCATACGGCGGCAGGGGCAGGTCCCGGGGCTCACTGCTCTCAGGCTTCTGTTTGAGCCTCAACACCCCCAGTTCTGGCCACACAGAGGAACTGACGTCTGGGCAGGGGGCCCAGGGCGCCTCGTGGTGTAGCTTATGGCAGCTGTTGAGTTGCGCTGCCCAGGACACAGGCCTTGGGCCCTTGGTGGCCCTGGTTGTGGGAACCTCTGTTGGGCTGAGTTCGTCTTAGCTGAACAGCTGGAAATTGCTTTAGATGGGGAGTGGGCCTGAAAGACTCTTGCTGTTTTGGGTCAGCTCCGTGGGAGCCGGCTGGGGAGGGTTTATTTCGGGGAAGACAGCAGGGCGGGTGCCCCGCGTGTGCACACGCCTTGGGAGCGCTGCTAACTGCCTGCCTGGCTCCTGTGGGGCCGGCTCAGCTCGTGTCTAAGGTGCTCTTAAACCTGCATTGTCCTTTGGTCTGAGGGCCATGGGGGCGACGCTCTGGGTGAGGATGGGTTTAAATTTAAATAGAAATGAGAGCATGGCAAGGCTGTGAGGGACACCAAGCGGACGGGTCAGGGGACAGCTTCAGAGGGCAAGAGACGGGATGGGACAGGGTCAAGGGACCGGAGACCGGATTAGAGGAAGAGGCCAGGGGACAGGACGTGGTCAGGGGTCAGGGGATAAGGTCAGGCTGGTGGACAGTGGAGAGGGTCAGATCAGGAGATGGGGTCAGAGAACAGGATATGTGAATGGGGCTAGGGGGCAAGGGATGGGGTCAGGAGCGTCTCTCCCAGCTCTGCTGGGACCTGGGCTGGGCGGCCGGTGTGTGGAACCTCGGTGGTTTCCTGTGCAAGCCGGAGGGTCGGCTAGTCCTGCGCCACCGTGAGGGGCTGTGCAGCGGAAGTGGCGTGATTCGCGCTGAAGGGGTACTTGTGGCTGCTGTCCGCTCCAGGGCGAGTTCCCGTCGCGCCCCCATGCTCTCGGCATCTCTGTTTCTCCGTCTGTTGAGTGCGCGCGTCCTGTCGCCACCTTGCTGGAGTCCTGGGCCTCTCCCGACCTGTCTCCTGTGTGTCTTTCCAGGAAGCCGGATATGCGGGGCCTGCTGTCGCTGTGGGACATGCTCCGTCTGGTGAACATGCTCATCGTCTTCCGCTTCCTGCGCATCGTCCCCAGCATGAAGGTCTGTGGGCGCGTCTGACCCCCCCCCTCGCCCGTTCTCCACCCCGCCTTCGTCTTCCGCTCGCTGTTCATTGTTCTAGGAAGGGTGAGCCCCAGCAGGGAGGGGTCAAGACCCTCTGGGTGCGCTCCCAGCCCTGCAGTGCAGCTGGGTGATTCTGGGGGGCGGGTGCAGTTAGAAGCCTGAGTGGTCCCTTCGGCTTACGGTGAGGAGGGCCAGGCCCACGTGCTGGGACTGGTGTGAGGCCCGTGGCATCTGTGAGGGGCAGGGTGGAGCTCTTGGGACCAGCATGTTCCCAAGTGTCCTGAGGTTTCTGAAAGGCCTTGGGCATGGGCTCCTGGTGGCTGCAGAGGTAGGATCGTCTGGGGTGCTCACTTCCAGGACCCCCAGTGCAGGAACGGGGTGGCTCGTGACCATGTCCGAGCCTTGGTTTCTCTCAGTGCACCCTTTGGGAGTGACCCCACCCTTGAGGGGAGGGGTGGAGGCGGAGTTCACTGCTCCTGTCTGTTTTCCTGAGAGCTTTTCAGGAGAAAAGACATGGAGGACATCAGGCCTCTTTGACTATCCAGGTCCTTCCCCTGTGCATGCCTGTGCTTCCTGCATAGCTGTCCTCTGCCCCGTCAGGGCTCACCTGTTACCCAGCGGCGTTACCCATCTGAAGGTGGGGGGCCCTGGGTGCAGAAGCCTTTGTGCACGCCGCACACGCAATGTGATCCTACACACACACATGTATGGTCATATGTGCACGTGAACACACATAAACACATGCACGTAATCACACCCACATTATCATACACATACCGCCACACACATGTAGTAACATACCCTCACACACACATAATTATATGCACACACATTCAACATATACATGTAATAGTCACAATGTATGTAATTACATGCACACAATATACATGTATACACAATTATATGTGTATCCACACAAATTGCATACACATACAGTCCACACACATGCACGTGTGCACACATGATGCATATATATGCATAGACATGCACACACACACACACACACACACACACACCAGTTCCCACCTGCTCGCATCCAGCGTTACAGTGTTCTAACATACCAGGTGGGGTAAATGAGCTGATTGGAAAGGCTTCCTCGGGGTCAGGTTCGCGTGTGGGGGAGCATCCCTGTAACCGGGGTTCCTGGCTGTGTCTCTGAGGCCCCCTTCCTCAGACTCCATCGCTAGGGGCTGACCTGGATGGAATCCTCCAGACCAGAGGACCTAACCCAGCCTCAGTGGGTCGGCGGGCAGTGGGGTCTGCCCTGCCCACGGGGCGTCACCACAGGGACTCGGAACCCAGACCCACCTAAGGCTGGGTGGATGGAGGTGTCTGGATGTGTGGGGCGAATGAGCATGTCCATACGGTGTGTAGGGGGGGTGGCTGTGGGGTGTGTGTACAGCTGTGCGTGTACAGGTGTGTGGATAAGTGTGTATAGCTGTGTACAGGTGTGTATGTGTGGGAGTGTAGG